GAGAGGCAGCAGGAGCCATGCAGAAGCACCAGGGGCTATTCAGAGGTACCAGGGGCCATGGAGAGGTACCAGGGGCTATTCAGAGGTACCAGGGGCCATGGAGAGGTACCAGGGGCTGTGTAGAGGCACCAAGGACCATGCAGAGGTATCAGGAGCCATGCAGAGGTACCAGGGGCTGCATAGAAGGCACCAGGGGCTGTGGAAAGGCACCAGGAGCCATGCAGAGGTACCAGGGGCTGTACAGAGGTACCAGGGGTTGTGCAGAGGCACTAGGAGCTGTGCAGAGGCAGCATGGCCCATGGAGAGATACCGGGGGTTATTCAGAGGTACCAGGGGCTGCTCAGAGGTACCAGGGGCTGTGCAGAGAGGCAGCAGGGACCATGGAGAGGTACCAGGGGCTATTCAGAGGTACCAGGAGCCATGCAGAGGTACCAGGGGCTGCAGAGAAGGTACCAGGGGCTGTGGAGAGGTACCAGGAGCCACGCAGAAGCACCAGGGGCTGTACAGAGGTACCAGGGGCTGTGCAGAGGTATCAGGAGCTGTGGAAAGGCAGCAGGAGCTGTGCAGAGGCACCAAGGACCATGCAGAGGTACCAGGAGCCATGCAGAGTTACCAGGGCACTGCTGGGCACAGCTGCCTCCCASACTGCAGCAGCACTGCAGCCTTGTTCCAAGCTGGAGCACTCCTCATGTTATTTTGCCACATGGCTCTGTTTTTGAGAATCCTCAAGCCTGGCCCGCTCTAGGGTCCCTCCTGTGGGTTGGGCACCCCAAAAGTCCTTCCAGCAGTCGGGAAGGGTTCCCAGCCAGCCCAGGCAGCAGCAGAGGAGCAGAGGCACTGCTGGAGTCTCCTTGCACAGCTCCTGAGCATCTGCCCACACACAAAGCCAGCCCAAAGCATCCTTAAATTTCCCTGAGGCGGGGACGGAGGAATGCAGGGAGGATGAACGGCAGCTTTTGTGCTGACCCATCTGAGCAGAGATCAAAGATCCTGCAGAGCTTGGCCTGGAGCTCAGCCCGAKATTCTCCCTGTGTCTCTTCCCGGCTGCTCCCAAAATTGTCTGTACCACTGCATGTTTTTATTTGGCAGAAATAACAACAGGGATGATTTATTCCAGGAGCAGCTGTCTCTTGTTTTACACATCAAAAACAGTCAGGTACCTCTAAGGAAACCCATCTCACCCAACACAGAGAACGCTGACCTCAGAGTGTCACATCTTGTCTTCTGCTTATTGCAGAAAGATTTTCATATGTGCTGACAAACTCTGCTCAATGTTTCATCTGAGAACTCCATGAATGAAGCCTGAAATATTCCCCTTGCATTTGGCATCCGGCAAGGTGAACTTCCCCAGAAAAACATTGAATTGTTTTGTCTGTRTGTGAAGATCTCCAAAATGTTGTCTAATTCCAAATTCTTGGCTCAGGATTGAGCTGTGGATGTAAGTCAGCCATCCCAAAGGCAGGGCTCAGCATTTTCCATAGTGTTCATGATGAGAAGGAGCAGGGAAATTCCCTTTTTTTTTTTTCTGGTTCATTGAAACGGAATGGTGAAGCACTGTATGATCCTTGAAACCAAGATTCACCACTGAGTCACAGCTCTCCACCTACGAGGAAAATAAATAAGATGTGAGGCTGGAGAGCGGGAGACTGCGGAGGGAGCAGGGAGAAATTGCTGAGCCCCTTTCCCAGGGGTAGGTGTGACCCTGGAGCGGTGATGGAGGGGAAAGAGGGACAATTTTATGCTTTTCAGAGAAAAATCTGTGTGGCTGTGGCTTTGATCAGAGCTGACTTTGGGGATTGGCTTGGTCCCATGTTATCATTGACTGGATATGGATCTGTACGGATGGATTTCAGACCAGAGGAAATGTACTCAGGGGAGGTYTAGATTGGATATTAGGGAGAACTTYTTCACRGGAAGGATGGARAAGCRTTGGAACAGGCTGTCCTGGGAAGTGGCACAGTCACCGTGTGATCAAAACCCTGTGGATGTGGTGCCAAGGGGCACGGTTTAGTGGTGAGCCTGGCAGKGCAGGGTTAATGTTTGKACTCGATGATCTTTAGAGGTCTTTTCCAGCCTTAATTACGCTGTGATTCTGTGACTCAGCTGAATGTGCTTTGAACCGCAAAAAAAGCCCAAGAACTTTACGTTTTCTTCGCAAAATATTCCATTCAAAAGGCAAAGATACTGCACTTAAAAGCAAACTTCCTTTCCTAAAGATCCCATTTACAAGGGAAAAGAAAATATCCCGTTTGGAAGTCTTCTAAATATTCCGTTTGACAGGAGGTATCGGGAGGCGGAGGGTGCGGATGCTCCGCTCGCCCTGGGACGGGGTCGGGGGGCTCAGTGGGGGCTGTGTGGGATTTGGGG